AAGTAATAGAAGCTCACTGCTTTGCGAAACTATAAATTTGCATCTTGGTTTCACTCATTCATATTATCTCTTACAAATCTGCCTAGTTAATGAAAAGAAGTACTTCAAAGGATTTCTTAGGACAGCCTCTAAACAATATGTGGAAATATGTTTCTTGTTTTGCATGATCCACTCTAACCCTAACAGTATATATTAAAAAAGAAACTAGGTTTGAAAAATATTTTAAATTGCATTGTCAGGTAATTAATTTGACTTTTCTCCAATTCTAAGGAATCATCAACTTTTTTTTTTTTTTAAATCATAGACTTTGGAGATTAGCTGTAAAAGCAAGCCTGAATAAACAGAATTCAATTTTTCACACATTTCCATAAAACTAGTTCTCAGTCTATAAGGCAAGCATGATTTAACAACTTATTAACTCCAGGTTCTCTTCAAATAAAAAATAAAATGACAAAAGTTAAGAAACAGAACACTGGAAATCAACAATTAGTTCTCAAACATAATTTTGCCATTAACTTTAACTTATCTCTATAAATTTGACTATGTCATTACAGGCACTGCTAAAATCAAGTATATGACACTTTGCTAAATAATTTACTTTCTTCTTGCCTTTTAGGAAGGCTTACTCTGCATGCACTACTCTTAGCAATAGGGGTCTATTTATTTATATGTAAAATAAAGGTGCTGGAGTGGCCCTCAGATCCTTTTTTAGCCCTAAAACATTGAGCTCTAGAACAATGGGCCATCAGGAGGAGGCAAACACCAATCTCTAAGGTAGCCAACCAGCCACTAAAACACATCCCTTGCATAAATATAAATATAAGATTAATATTTGCTGGGAGCACCCTGGCAAGTGTGGCTTAGTTGGTTGGGTGTCGTCCCTTGCACCGAAAGGTTGCAGGTTTGACTCCCAGTCAGGGCCCATGCCCAGATTTTGGGCTCCATCTCTGGTAGGGATCACATCAATGTTTTTCTCTCTCCCTCTCCCTTCCTCCTTCTCTAAAAATCAATAAAAAATACTTTTTAAAAAATTTTCTGGGAGAGCTCTTCCTGCAGAAATATTACTGAATGCTGACTTCCTCCCTTCAGTCACATACACAGAGAAACCTGAACGCTAGGACGTTTGTTTTGACTAGTGGTCTCTAAATTCATTACCATCAGCAATGAAAAGTTCTTTTCACATGCAAATTTAAATATAATCTCTTATACAGTAAATTATATCATGCTATTATGACATGTAAGGAAGGGGGTTTAAGAATACATAGAAGGGGTCGTCCTGTTTTCTTCCCATGGTAGACAGTCTATCGCACAGACTTCCTTGCTCCTTCCCTGGGGATGAGACTCAGCTTCCGAGCTCTGGTCTAAAACACTACATCTCACCTGCTGCTCTTGAGATGTTTCTAGTAGTTACACCAAGGTTGCAACCTGTGTCCTAAACATGCATACGTCACTCTGCAAAATGTACTTTTCTTTTCATGGCACCACAGTTTGAAGACTCTCATTCTTGAACTTGTTATCCAAGAAATTCAACACGACAGTGTAGCTGAACCCTAATCCCTGACAAAGCAGGGTTTGCAGGCTTGAGAAGGGCATTAGCCCGTGAGTGTGCATCACGAGAGGTTCAACGTTGGGTTTTTTTTCGGAGATTTACAGCCCAATAGAAAGATGAGAAGGTTTTAGTTACAGCAATGCCTCTTGTGTTTCCCCAGCAAAAATTTCAAAATGAAGTGAAAACACAGGTGACATCTAACAGCGAGAGGGAAGGTTCTAAAAAAGTAAATAATCGGTATTTCCCAGGTGGGGTACTTGCCTTAACTCAACGACTAATTTTACTTTATAGTCACAAAGCACCCATAAGCAAACACAATTTTTATATCGAACTGTATGAGGCAATTCTTTCCCAAGATCCTTTTGAAAAAAAACCCTCATAACTTTTGTTTTTCCAAAGACTTTTGCAAAGGGCACACATTTCCTACCCAGCCTGTGCCATGCACCTGCCCCTCCACCCACATTCTCATTCCAGAAACACTCCCTGGGCAAAGGGACCTGGCATGTAAAGACTACAATCTTAGAAGCAGGGCACTACAGTCTCACAAAGACCAAAATAGCTACAAAATACATAAATAAGGAGACAGAGATAAGTCAGCGAAACTAGTGTCAATCTGCCTCTTCTCTAACTTACCTTTCTCAGCATTTGCCACTATAATCATAGCAAATTCCTTTGCTGATGATTAGCAAAGTGTATTTCTACCATTTTTCATTATTTCCTCTGTAAAATTAAAATAATCAATTTAAAGACTGTTACAAAAGATCCTAGTAATAATAAAAATGGTTATTAGTCCAAACTCGAAGCCACACAAATACCATTTTGTTACTGTTCCCCTACAATACTGTGCCATGGCTCTAAACTTCAGGGTCCCCACTGAAACACAGATGTTTTCACTGACCTGCACTCCGTCACTAACAGACCCACGTGATCTAGCCAGTTTCAGAGTGTTGATCTCTTAAAGTAAGTTAAAAAAAAAGGTGTTTTTCATCTTCTACAAAACCACAAAATAAAAATATTTGTCCTTTTTTTTTTTTTTTTTCTGGTACTCTGGTCACAAATATACAACTCTATATTAGGATTCCACCCACATTTCTTTTATTTATAATTTTTGGGTATTTAGAGTCTCAGACCATGTGGGCCAACTGTTGAAAATAACACATACACTGGAATATCATTGGAATTTGCTAAGAGAATGGAACTTAACTGCTCTCACTGAAAAAACGGATAAATATGTGAGGTGATGTGTGTGCTAATTAACTAGATGGCAGGAATCCTTCTACAACCTATATGTGTACGAAACACCACTTTGAATATCTTACAATTTTATTTATCAACTGCACGCCATAAAGCTGCAAAATAAATAAAACTATGCAAAACTATAAAAATAAGTGTTAAAAATTAAATAAGATAATAAAAGCACTACAATGCTGTCAGCCTACAAATAGAAGATGCACCACTGAATACCTATATATTCTAGCTATTATGAGACCTTGTTAATTATATTACAAAGTGGAACAAGAGCCTAAGATTAACATTCCACAAGTGTAAGTGTATATTAATACACTTTCCGCTTGTACTTAAGCCAAGTGTACAGCTTTGATGAGACGTAGAAAAGTGGGTGTTTTAGGGCAGAGGCACGTATATGGAGGTACAAATGTCTGAGCTTCTTCTCTCCACACTGTGCCAGTTGGAAAACTAAAGGATCCCAGCACAGCGGTGCGCCCGCCTGTCCCGGGGCCTCCATCCGGCACACAGACGTGTACATAGTATTTCTGACCAAAGCGAAGCTTCACTCGTGAAAACATCCTCAACATCAAAAATATTATACATTCCCCAAGAAGGGAGGCTTGGTCAAGCTAAACTGTAATTAACCAATCAATAAAAACATACAAACCAGCAGCCTTCTGTGAGATTTTATAGAATTACGCCACAGGTTCCCTTTCTGAAAATATTTAAGTGAGAAGTTTGGGTCAAAAAAGAACAGTAAATAGCCAGAAAGTATAAAACTCTCCTAAAACTAAATTAGGCTGGTGAGTTTATTCTGGAAAATTCAATGGTACATCCCTGCTATAATGTTCAGCAGGTTTTTCTAAGACTTCAAATTGATTTTTTTCTTTTTTTCTTTTTAAAGAATGGTTTAGACTTTCAGGAACTGGTCAAAATGATCCATGATCATCATTATCTTACTTTTACCACAATTATAATTTATTTAAAACTGGAATTAGAACAATAATAGTTAAATAATATAACAGGAAAAAGAGAGTCGAAATGACAGAAATGTACGCTCTAAGAGCTACAACAATTAAGCAAACAATTGAAGTAACATCTATAGAAAAGAAAAAAAAATTTTTAATGAATTTAAAGAAGTGGACACTTTAGCAAGGGCCAAAAATACTGTCCTGAGAATTGAAAATTAAAGAAGGTAAATATCTTAGAGAAAAGAAGCTTTTAAGTAACTAAGAACATCTTCTAAAGTTTACAGGTGTTTTTTTAAACTAAGACATGAAAAGGCCTACGTAAAAAGAGCAAAGTAAGTTAAACTCAAATTCTTGTATCACTAAAAATAAAACATTAAGAGGCAGATATTTGGTTTATGAAAATAGGGTTGGAATACAAAATTCTCAACACCCAACAATTTTATTTCTTTCATGGAATAAAAAATAAAGGTCCAACTGCACCAATATGCTTACCTCCCCCTCACCGAATGACTTTTTTTGGCTTTGTCACTGCTATGGATTAAAATGTGTCTTCCAGAAATATATGTTGAAGTCCTAACCCTCGGTACTTTGGAACTCGGCCTGATTTAGAAATACGGTCCTTACGGATGTAACTAGTTATGATGCACTCAGACTGGACCAGAGCTGCCTTTTTTTTTTTTTTTAAATATATCTTTATTGATTTCAGAGAGAAGAAAGGTGAGGGAGAGAGAGATAGAAACATCAATGATGAGAGAGTCATTGATCGGCTGCAGCCCACAACCCGGGCATGTGCCCTGACCGGGAATCGAACCCCGATCGCCTGGGCCCTAGGTGGACACTCAACCGCTGAGCCACACCCAGCCGGGCCTGAGTGGCCTTTTAATCCAACATGACCGGCATCCTTTGGACACGGTGGCAGGGACACAGGGAGAAAGCCACGGGATGCTGGAAGCAGAGCTGGGTGACGCGGGTGGAAGCCGAGAGCCAGTAAGGACCGACGGCCTCCACCAGCAGCTGGACGGAGGTGAGGACGGGGCCTGCCCGAATCTCAGAGCCCCATGCCCTGCTGGCCCCTTGACTTTGCACTTCCAACAGAGGCTGAATTTCTTCTGTTTAAAGCCACCCGGTTTGTGGGCTTGGCTGCGGCGGCCTTGGCCAACCAACGCCGTCCCCGCTGCGCTGCAAGCCCAAGCGAAGAGCCTACCGAGGGGACACGGGTCAGGAGGGCAGCGGCCGGGCCAGGGACAACTTACCAGCAACGTAGTCTCCAAAGCCGATGGTTGTCAGGGTGATGACCACGAAATAAATGGCGTCCAGAGCACTCCAGCCTTCTATGTGCTTGAATATGACGGCGGGCAGAGCCACGAAGAGCACGCAGCCGAACAGTATAAATATGATGGTGGAGATGATGCGGATCTTGGTCTGGCTAACGTTCCACTTCTGGGGGGGGAGAGAAGCTGACTGAGATGACTGACCACTGGCCCGGGCGCAGAGTAACCTATGTACACTGTTAACAGCAAGTTAGCAGGCGGGAATGTTATCTTGTTCCCTTTTCAATTGCCTTTATAAGTAACGACAAAGTTGGGTCTAACCGAAACAGCCCGAAACACCCAATGCTAATAATGATGCCAACTTAGTCTTCCACAGCTTTACAACGTACTCTCCAAAGTAAAATACTCTCCGAAATAAAGGACATTTGCGTTGAGGACATCATTTCCAATTTACATCATTCTTTTGTTTACCTGAACTACTCTTAAAATATATCTGTGCTGTTAGGCATACAATTGATTGAGGGGTAAATGCCATCTAGAAATATATGAAAATGGAAAGAACCGAACCATGAGTTGAATGTTTACTACCGATAATTGGTAAAATGACGCATTCTCACTCCTATCACATTTTCCAACCAATATTCAGTTGATTAAAGTGCAGTATTAAGAGGCTTAAAGCCCACATTTGGTTCCCAAGTGAACCAGAGGAACTGTCTCCCTGTTCTACGGCCTTGAACCGTAAGACTGACTGTATCAAAGATGATCCGTAAGCAGGGCTCAGTCTTCCACTCCCCTGAGCTGCAGCCATCGGAGAACCCGTGTGCCGTCACCTTCTCTTATCAGGAGCCTCCCCAGTGTGGCATTAAATGAAGGTGCTGCAGACCCCAGTTTATCTCCAGATCTCCTTTTGGGATTGATCACCGCCCGGGTTTCACCTCTGACCGGATCTGTCCCGTCTACTGTGAAAACTACAGGCTGCAGCCCCACCATGGAAGAACCGTGACGTTTAGGGCCTGAAATGTTTCTAGAAATAAAGGTCCAGGAAACCACAGAACAAAAAGTGAGAAGGTGCTCTAGTCCACCATCCTCATCGCGTATCTGGGAGCGAGATGAAGTCACACGTGCCGAGGTCCCAGAAGTGTCCACGCTCAACGCTGAGCCAGGGCCGCTGGGGTGTGTCCCTAACCAGACGCAGTGCGAGCGACACTGCCCAGCACCCAGCACGCGCTCGAAGCTGAATAAATGAGCCACTCAGTCCTCCCGAGTTCACGCCCCTAAGCCCATTTCTCAGTCAATATAAACACAAGGAATTTTAATATCAACATAAGTATAATGCCCAGACGATAAAACTTCTGCTCTGGCACAACCACACCTACTCCTTTCTAACAGGAAAAACATCTGAGAGTGAATTTCGAACTTTAGTATGAAAGGTAGCGAATGCCAAAAACTGGAACTATGATTTAAACTGAAAAACTTCACTTATTCATTCAGGTAAGTATAAAAATAACTATACAGTGAGTGACATGCTGATAGGAGTATATATAAATGCACCGAGGTAATAGAAAAAGTGTAATATTTTAATGCATTAAACAATAACTGCGTGTAGTTAAAAGGCTATCATACTTACAATAAACGTATCTTCCACTTTTGCAATTCCTTTTCCAAATATGGTCCCTAGCTGATCTCCAACTCCAGCCAACAGAAAACCAAAGAGGGGAATTCCCAGTAAGGCATAGATGATACAGAAGATCTTCCCTCCTTCTGTGCGTGGTGAAATGTTTCCAAACCCTAGGTATATTAAAAAAAAAAAGAATTCAGTTGTTTATAAATGAGTAATGGTTTAAAGCACATGACTTCAAGGTTGATTCAAAAATTTCTAAATATTATAAGGTATCAATCACAGATTTCAACTAGTTAAGAATCCCTTTATATTACATAAACTTTTAATATATTTTAATATAAAATACTCATAAGCAAACATTTAAAAAAATCTACAAAGTACAGCCATTGTTCCAGTTACACTAGATAATGCAAACTGAAGGGGTACCACATGTAATAAAGCAAATATTTTCATTAAATGTACTTCGGTCTCTCTATACTTATAATCCTGTTGACTACAGTACAAGGCTTTCATTGCCATTTGCTGAGAAGAGTGTGTTGTCTTATTGGGCTGGTATCTGATCACGTTAACCACATGTTTTTTCCCCCCCATAATATCTCCATCTTTCCCTTCCTCCTACTCAGTCAGTTTGGTGTTCATTGCTAGTCAACTCACTTCCTAAGATTTTTGTTTTTGTTTTTAATGTATCTAACTTCCAAGAACTTTGCCTTTTTTCATTAGCCTGTTGTTATGCCATGAAAGTAATAATTATATTCATTTCTCTGTTTTTTGGTCTTGTACCCCGTATTAATTCAATTCCACGCGAGAAGTCCCAGGCTTCCTTTATTTAGGTGAATTTCTTCAAGTGTTTGCGAGCCCCTGGACCTATTTTCCTACTTGTAAGCACAGTACAACACTAGCTTGGTTGGTGTTTGCGGCTGAAATGTATTCCCAGCCTCAGTGGGAATCACAGTGCACGTAAGATTCTGGGAGGAGCCCTGGTTGAAGCGGCAGTTGGGCGGGCCAGAGAGAAGGGGGCTGGCGTCTGACCGGGCTTTCCTCTGAGCGTGCACCTCACATAAGGCCCGAGAGAAGGGTCCCCTGGTTCCTCACGGTGGCCGCCAGCTCCCAGACACCGACCGCGCCTCAGACCCACTGCCTGCTCTGGGAATATCTGTAATTTTAACTCTGAAATGCTTGTAGTCACATCTTTATGCTGGAGGTGAAGACTGGAGACCGCTACAAAATTCCACAAATTTTGATTAATTTATAGGCTACTGACCACAGGCTCCCTTCTGCTTCTAATTTTGGTGACTTCAGAAAAACTTCTCTTTGGAATCCTCTATTTTGCTTCTATGGGAGATGTGGGCTCCTCAGTTCAAAAAGAGTTCACTGTCAACCTGAATCTATATGTTTCATATCATCCCCCAAATCCATTCCTGTGGGGTTCCCTCACCCCACCTCCCCTGCCTTCAACCTCACTGTGGAACTTCTCCCCATTATTTTTATATGTTTTCTGTCATCTCGGTGTAACGTTTTGGGGATACGAGGTAAATGCATGTTTATATCAAACAGCTTGTAAAGTAAATTCGTGTTTGTAGCAGATAGGGAATTAGATGTGAGAATTTAACAATGTCTCTTAAGACGGTCACTACTGATCATCTTATAAAAAGTCCACAGATTTACAGTAAGATATACAAACATCATGGCTTTTAGAAGCATTTTACTCAAAAGTCTAAAATTATCTGATTGAGAGAGAAATCAGGATTAATAGCCTTTAAAAGTTTCACACTATATTATAGCCATTTCTGGATCCGTTGCTCACTAGATACGTGACCCTGGGCAGATTATTTCCTCGTTTGGTAAAAGGGTGTGACTGTTACTATTATCTACTTCATCGAGGTGTAAGAACTAAGTAAGCTGCTACATGAAGAGAGCTTAGCAAATTCTCTTATACTATCTGTGTTCAATAGACAGGGTGGGGCAAAAGTAGGTTTACAATTGTGAGTACAAAAAACAGTTTACTCTCGTATTATTATTAATAAATTATTTTATTATTTTCCATATGAACAACTAAACCTACTTTTGCCCCACCCTGTATGTTAGGCACTATGATCATTATTATTATAATTTACCATTGTAATAGCATTGGTAGAAGCAAAGAGAAGCCAATCACGTACTTAGCCCTATCAGTATACGAACTATGTAAGAGCCAGATGGGTAGGGTCGCGATCACACAAAGCTCTCCACTATGTTCCGAAATGTTCTGTCGAATGCAGGTGCCATTCTTTGGAAGGAGCCCTGGAAAACAGCGCGCAGAGGGCAAGGCAATTTGTCACTATAATGGTTGAAAGGATCAGGATGTTTAGGCTGAAGAAGCTGAGAATGGAAGAAGGCAGAGAGCTGCTTTCAACTATCTATCGGAATGATTAAAACACAGAAAAGGAAACGGGCCTGCTGAGGCGCGTGAGGCAAAGAACAAGAGCGACGGGTCCAAGCTACGGAATGTGAGCTCATGCTGGGGTAACCACAGCCGAAGTGGCGTAAGTGGCTATAAGAAGCACCTGCAGCCTGTGACATTTCGGACCGAGCAACACCATCATCTAACCTACAATCTATATTCAAATCTTGCCACTGTCCTATTAAAGTCCTTTAGGACATTGTTTTCCCTGTTCCAGGATCCAATCCAAGATTACGCAGTACATTTAATTAGAACATCTCTTCAGGTTCCTTTCATCTTCTGGAATAGTTCCTAAGCTTTTCTTTGTCTTTCATGACTTTGAGGCTGTTTAAAAAATACAAACGAGTTATTGTTATTTAAATGTGTCTAGTACCTCCTCAGAGACAGATTCTAGTGATACATTTTTTGGCAGGAGTATCACATAAGTGATACTGGGTCCTTCTCAGTGAATCACAGCCAGAGGCCCATGATGCGGTGTCTTAGGTGGCGATGTTGACTTTGCGTAGTCGGCTAAAAGTGCGTCCACTAGATTGTCCCATTGAAAAGTTACTATTTTGTCCTTTGCAATTACTAAGTCATTTAGGAGGAAACACTTTGAGAGTATATAAATATTCTGTTCCTCAAACTTTCGCCACCTAGCTACAGTATCTGGAAATAAACACATAAACAGCGCCAGAAAAGAAAACATGAAGGCAGATGAAGCAATAGGACAGTAAAGGAGGTAATAATCATTTCATATAGAAGAAACAAGCCTAGAATTACTAGCAGATCCCCGTGTGGGGAAGAAGGAATGAGAGGAGGGAGCGAGGTTCTTGTCCATCCACTGTCTTGTTCTGACGTGGCTTCCGAAATCTCTGTGGGTTGTAATGGACCCAGAAGTTCCTGTATCAGCATGAGGGAGGGCTGAGAGCCCTTGAGATGGACGAAGAACCTGCCGTGGCTGGCACTCAGGACCTAGGGAAAACTGGCAAGACCACAGGCCCTGATGTAAGGAGTCCACACATTTAACGCATTTACCTCCCATCTGTTCTTATCTGCTAAGGCCTTTACAACGGTCTATACCAGAGCAATATGTGCAAAGGATCCACCCAGGGCACACGTGATAAGGGCCCAGAAACCTTGTACTGAGGCAGGTTAGCAAAGACCTAGGAAAATTCGTTGGCAAGTGGAATGGGGAAACTGAGACAGATAACTAAACAGACGGCCGAGCAATTTACAGCTAGCTAATAAATCGCAAGATTTCGTCTTCCCTAACAGAGGACACTTAGAAGCAAATGGTTTACACATTCCAGGCCTTGCTGGGGCAGACCCACCTCGGTCACACTCCCTTTCTGGTGACATTTTTTGAAGGTGAAACTGACCAGAGAATGACCCTGACCCCTCTATCTGCTCATTTTGATGCATCAGAGTATTAAAGGACACACCTGGAAAGCTGATGAATGTTCTGATTGAGACCTCCCCCCAAATTCCCCATCTTTAGAACTGAGAAAACCCCTTAAGACTAAGGACCCAGGGCACGCCGTCCCTTTCTCCCGCTTCTTCCCTCTGGTGTGTATCTTTGCTTCCTTTCTCCTAAGCTCTATAGCTCCCTGGAGGCTTGCAACCAGGGGAGCAGTGGGCAGCGGCAGCCTGTCCCGGGCTCTCCCCTGAGCTTGTCTCCAAGGGCCCTCCTTTTGCCTGTGTAACTTGTTTGCTGAGTCCATGCAGCCCAGCTGGCTCACTTCTTCTGCCTCTGTGACTTTCTTTCCAAAGGGCCAGGCAGCTCTGCCTAAGCTCACTCTCGCTGCTACGACCTTGCCCTTCTATCTTAAGCTCTTCTTTTGTTACACTTGTCCCCAACTTTAATAAATATACTCTCAAAATCAGGTGGACTCTTGTATTTATCCTTCCTGCATGAAGTCAAGAACCCACACATTCCAGACCATGCCAGGGCAGACCCACCTGGGTCCCGGTCCCTGTCCCGTGACAGGATCAGGGTTATCTGAAGGAGACAAAGGCCATCGCAAAGGTTAAAAAGTCAGGGAATGTTTGACCACAACTATCTGCGCAACAGTGCACCATTTCTGTACACTATCCAAGAATGGAACTCAACCACCTCAACCCTGTCCTGTAGCCTAACATCAGTAAGCGAGGCCTGGTCAACTTGGCAGGGTGGACTGTTCTGACATGAGTCCTCTGGTTATTCCAGAGAGCCCTGCTAAGATCCAACACTGTTCTTTACTGTTTCTCCAGATGAATGACTATGTGGCCTGAGGTAGGGCAGGCGTCTGCGTGATACCCTAGTCCATCCCATTTCCTCTTTTTGCACAAGAGCACAAATGTCTTCCGTTACAGCCATAAGAGTAACCTACCTGCCGGAAGGATCCAGATCAAAAATAAAGAAATAACTTTTTTTTTTTTTTTATTGTTCTGACTGTAGCATTGCTAGAAATAGATCCTATTGTTTAAAAAAGAAAAGCCTAGCTGTTAGAGGGCTCCATTTGATCTGCACCATGCAAGTTAAAAGGGCGTAAGGAACAACAGCTCCAAGTTCTCATCTACCACTGGCTCAGATTCGGCCTGGAGGCAACTAGAACATCCTCGGATAAGCTGACAGGATTTCCTCAGGAAGCCTCTTTGCATCACCAATAAAAGGGCCCAAAATCCAATGAGAATTCTGGATATAAGGAAATCTGCCTTTCACTGATCAAAAAATTGAGACCAATCCCATGTGGCACCTCCGTGCTG